TTGTCAGGTGTGCCCTAATGAGAGCGGATTTGAAAAGTTCAAAACAAAGTCGTCGGTGCCTAAACATTTTATATTGATATTCTACTGCCGAACGAGATAGTTTCGTCAGTTTTAGCCAGTACCTTTAACATTTCATACACTTTATTTTTCAAATGATGTTTACTTAGTTTTAACATTGTATGTGACCTGACAGCCACTTTTCATGTATTTCTATATGAATCTTGAGCGAGTGACTGACTGTTGGTCCTTATATTGAAAAAAAGTTTTTAATTCGGAAACCACATGTAGAGATAAGTCTGATCTGAATCTTTTAATAGAAGTGTTGTTGTTTTTTTGTATCAACCCTGAAATTTGTTTTTATTGTTGAATATTTGAAAACTCATGAACGGTAGAAAAATAATGAGAGGAACTTTGAGGACAGCGCATGGTTTTTTTTTACGAGGTTGGAATATGTTTTTTTTTATGGGATAACGTGTGACGTTCGGTACAAAATTTATTGGGTAAGGATTTTGTTTTAAAATAACGTGTATCAGAGTATTTTTTTTTACGTAGAAGGTTATAACTGGAGCAGAGATTGAAAACTCTGTTCAGAAAGGGATGTGATAAGATTACGTTTGAATATAACTGGAATGATGCCATCATAACCGGTATAGAAACCGGTGAAAGTGTTTTCCGGAATACATACAAACAGAAAAGTTTTAACTTCAGTTATTTTGACACCGAGAAAAGATCACCATTCATTTTCTTAAAGTTCAGAAGTGAATTAGGAACTGAGAACTTAAATATTACACTAGGAATTTAAATATCCCATTAGGAACTTTGGAGCATGGTTAGCAGAAGAACGAAATGGTAAAAACGTGTTCTTGAGGTAATGCTTGTATTATAACACTTATTGCTGAGCTACCGGTGGGGTAAGGATACTAACATTCATAGCGTGCTACAGGAAGGTAAGGATACTAACATTCATAGCGTGCTACAGGAAGGTAAGGATACTGACATTCATAGGGT